ATGCTTTGTTGTCTTTCTTGTTTATGCCTCATGCGGGCGTTTTCTTCATGGCAAGATGACGCGGACGGAAATCCGTCACAGTTTTATGGTTTCTCATATTTAAATCATCATAACTCTGAAAATAATCATTTTTTATATATTTTTTTCAAATTTATAATCGATATACACAACTTAAAAATACAAAAACCAAATTAGGCTCTATTTAGTTCCAAAATAACAACAGCTAAATAAAAAATTAGCACAAAATTAAGTAAATAATGAAATATTTTGCAAAGTTTCCCTCTCATGTTGTATTCTTCCCGTCATGCCGGGCAACAATTCCGATTATATTTTCGTAATATCCATACACCGTTAGTAACGACATCCAGTGATTTATGCGTGTGAGGGAGTGGGTGAATATGAAATTGATGTAACACGAATAACATTTCATAATAGCTGCACATGTGTACCGGGGGTGTCAATTACAACTTCTTTATGTTCTAGTATATACATTTAAAGCATGATTAAAATCTTAGTTCAAAGTTCAACAATCTTTCACGGTGAATATTGCTTGTTTTACTGTGTTGTATTGACGAACAGAACGTACTGAAATATATTTCTGTTTTGTGTTCATAGAAAGCAGACTCGAGTTACCATGGCAATATCAGCCCAAGTTCCTGGCATTCAGTTCCGAACAATGGAAGCATGTGACATTGACGGGGTCACTGACATCATATCGAAAGCCTTCACTCAGAGAGAGCCGCTGACAACATGCCTTGGAATACCCAGGGAAAAAGATTTCTTTGAGACGAGAGCAGTTTGTCAATTAGCAGCAAGAGATGGGGTCTCTGTGGTTGCTGTGGATACGACGTCAAACAAAATCATCGGTGTAGCATCGTCAATCATCGTTAACAGTAATCCCGAACCCCTTGATATCCCAACTGAAGTTTTAAAAATGTACGAACCTATTTACGCGCTCATAGACAAGATGCAGAAAGTATTTCACGATTCACCTACTTATAAAAATAACCCTGGGTCTAAAGTGATATCAGCTATGAAGTTGGGAGTGCATCCGAAATATACTGGCAGGGGAATCGGTACGAAGCTGCGTCAAGCTACCACAGATTTGGCACAGAGTCGAGGCTACCATTTTGTCACAGCGGTGGCGACTGCTCCTGAAAGTCAGCGAATCTACCAGAAACTCGGTTTCCAGCAACTTTACGATCTTAAGTACTGCGACTTTGAGATGAAAGGAAATCGACCATTTGCTCAGCTCGGCACTTTATCGGCGGAACTGTATTATAAAAAGTTATTTTAATCTCAGACTAGTAATACAATTACTGTATGTATTACTAGTCTGAGTTTTAATCCAAATCAGTGTGGTAGTGTGGATGGCCGATATAACACCATCCAGATTTAAACAGCACAGGTTTGTTTCAGGACAGTTTTTAGAATTGCTTCTATACCACTCTTACCATGCATCAATCCAACTTTCGGGGGATAATTGCACCTCTATAAAAATATTTCAAGAACTTGAGGACGTTGTATCCAAATAAGGCAAAGCAGTGTTCAAAATGAGACCTATGGTATATTCAGTTTGTTAACGCAAAATTCAAATATGAGATCTGTGGCGATTATATTAGCGCTTTCAAGCCGAACTTTGAGTTTGTTACTAAATATGCATAGGAATGACCCCTAGTGTACCACTTTAACAGATAAATGTGATGATATAACCATCGGGAAAGTCATTGAGAAATATTTCACTTCAGCCGTCAAGTACTTATAACAACAGTTTACCATTCGGTAATAATTACTAGTATACTTTTTATAATATCGAACATTGTGACCAATTCAAAATGTTTTTTAATTATAATTTACAAAATGATGTCATGATACTCGGATTCGTGAATTAAGCTATATTTCAATTATATTAAATTCAGCGTATTATTTCATTCTCGTATTTTATTCCGGAATAATGTGAAATTTTGTATTCCCATGTTCATTTGGTATAAACATTCGATTAAATCTTATTGATTAAACGAGTCAATAGACCGCCAATTCAAAGCACGACATGCATACACTATAATACATGTGACATCTACCCCCTTCCCACACACACACAACCCTCCAGACCCGATATATTATAATCCGGGAGAATTAGAAGAGGTTTACTACGAATATCCCGACAAACAGCCGGCATTACATAGTATTACAGAGTAGCAAGTACATAAAGATTACAGTCCCTCGATACCGGTGTGAAGGGACTGCGATAAAGACTATGGACCAAATTGGCACGCATGCGTGGTGAATTGGCCAAAGAAAATGGCGTCAAGTAGTCTTGCATACAGTCCCTTGTTTATTTGTTGTTGTTTTTTGAATAAAATCAAATGTTGTGGGTTGTAAATGGCGAAAGTCGGGTTATCGCACAACAAAACACTTGTTTATTTGTGCAGTAACCCGACTTTCGCGTTAACTTGGTTTTCGCCATTCTAGGCGTCAAGTTTATTGTGGTAGTATGTCTGTAGCCATTGTTTACTAATCTGACCCCTACAAGTCAGCAGCCAAGAAACAACTCCTGAAATATCTTGCTTGTACAAACTATGTTTACATCAATATCTGTATTATGTGGGGATTATATTCACGAGCACCCAGTAGTGAAACAAAATATACAGAAATGACTGTTTCACCACAAAAAAACACGGTAAAATGTATAATCTGCAAGGCATGTTGGGAAATGTTGTGATCTCTGCTGTCAATCATTTTCAGTACATTTTTTTTCAAAACAAATTATCTTCCTCCATCCAACTCATAAATGCACAAATAACAGAATGAATATATATGAAGTACTTTACTTCCTTTACCTTTCGGTCAATATGATAATTATGTTGCGCTTTTGAGTTGTTTTTGTTTCTAATGTTTTACATTTTGTCTATTCGACCTGGGTTGTTTATGTTTGAACAATCTAAGGTGACAAATCACTGAATAGTTAGCCTTTTCTTCCATTTACTCATCAGATTTAGGGTACCAGTATAACGTATTCAAATGCAACTTGAACAATGCAGAATAATTTGCGGCTTGTGTATATTAAATAAAAAAAGAAGAAAACGTCAAAAGTCTATTTTGGGTGGAGAGATGTTAGACTTTGAGTTTGCTTATGTTTGGTCTTAATTTCTCTTGTAATCAAACAAATCAGGGCAAAGTCTAGCTTGGATTTTACCCATCAAGCTTTGCAAAATAGTTTTTGTCTTGTAATTCATGGTAGATAATCAAATTTACCTAAATATATCTCTTTGAATATCTAGGAATATATCTCTTTGGTTATAGGTATGCTATTTTTGTGTTGGTTCATAAAGTACCATCTCGTCACATAATATCAGTATTGTTCGACCTTTTCGTATTTGTTCGCATTTTTCCTCGATCGATGATAGTTCGAAGTGTTCTTTTACCATGACTTTGATTTGCAATTTACACGTTTATGTTGCAAGTTTGCGAAGAAAATTAAAAACTTCACATGGCTCAAATATAATTTCACTACACAGACTAAATATTGTGGCACGAAAAGCTATGGACCCACAGCTGCATACCGACAGGCTCGATATAATATATGGGTGCGACCTACCCGTATCAAACTTGCATGTGATCACTGTAATGAGGGTGCCATTCAGTACCAGCCGTCACTGACAGTCGCATTAAGCACCAGAGTGTGACCTGCCTGTGGAACAGGTGACTGGATGCGTGTTGACCTTCAATCGGTGTGTCTGACCGATCGGGGGTAACTTGGTATGTACTCGCGAATAATATAATATGCAGCACACGCAGTAGTAGTACTGCATGATAACATTCCGCATTGAGATTATGAAATCATTAGAGAGAAACCTTTCGCAGTCATCACCATTTGAGCGAAAATATTTGTAAAAAGGTATTATTGAGTACAGGTACATACATATAATATAATGGATTACAGGACGATAGCTTACGGTTGTATATCATATTAATTACTGATATATTACGAAGATATAAGCATACAACCCACACTGACGACCACGCATCACCAAAGCACCTTCCATTGTGAATTTAACGGGTCTAGTAGTAATTTACTACGTTCACGTTATGGGATCTCGGCACGTACCAAGTTGTTAGTCCGTGACTTGCCGAAATCACGCTTTCATTCGTCGATTAGGATGTTGACCAAAACATGGTAGACGTTACGCATAATGTTATAATAATAATTACTTTATTGAATCATATCCATTTGCTGTTACGGTATTTATTACGAGTCCTCGTGTACATGAATGGTAAAGATGTATTCAACTTGAAAGAACTGATTTCACGTCCATGCATCATTGCTAAAAATGCATCACTGTCAACGTTCTGCATTTATTTCATATCTAGCTGCACATCCCTTCATCGCCATGTCATGCTAGTATTAATCAGTATATGTTCTCTTAAGTTCATCGCAGAGGGCGTGATTTCGGTTCAAGCCGAGCATTCAAGTAATAAATCTCGGCACTGCCTGGAGTAAAAATGTGTTGCAGGACCACTTTATTTTGTCATCGATAGACGATTCAAGATGACCGACTGGAAATTGTTTCAGTGTGTTATTGAGATACCTATTTGTTTCCCTGCACAAGAGATGCGGTTTTTTGTGATCTAAAGAAATATTGACATAACAATCTTAGAATCATAATATTTAAAGTATGTTGTGCGCTTTAAAATTCTTAAAGGTGACTTATTTGTAATCAAAGGTGATGCAATGGGCGACTTTTCTAAGCTCATTGCTACATTCGCTTTGTTATATATTAATTTGTGTATTTGAAACTAACCATTACGACTAGGTCTATCGAATTCATATTGGTTCCTGTCATATATGCCATACACGGACAAAATGTACAATCGTTAATTAAATTAAGTTGCCAAAAACGATGGCGTCCAGAAATGGCCATGTTACATTGAGTCTGTCATTTTGATCTGTATTGAAATTGACATTAATAAATGATATGAACTTGCAATATGCCTAGTTATATTTGATCATCAATTGCATGTTATGTTGACATTGAGTATCAAATGGGTGCCACATTTGATCAAAAATGTTGGATGAACGGCATCAATTCTGATCGGTCATGCAGTTTTGCTGCCATCTTGAATTTCTAGCGAAAATGACAATTTGGAGTAATTGTTTGTCATGAGTTTTTTAACTAAGCTACTTGGTATTCGGTATATGGCAAAAAAAAGACGCCTTTATTGCCTTTAAAGGCCATTTTGCAACTTCCACCACCAAAGAGTCTTTGCGTTTTTCTTGCAATTCAATTACTGCAATGCACGCGATATCATACTCTACACGACGGTATACATCCACTAAAGGCGTTATGATTGGTCGGATGTATTAAAACGGGGAGTCGTCACCTGTGCATGCGGCAGGCGGCCTTAGGGTGTTGTTGTTTGCCAACAAACGTGTAGCCATAAGCCTTTGTGTTTCTAACATGCCTTCTTATCATCGTTTAGGACCCAATTCGCCCGCACGCGCAGGTGACGATGACCTCTGCTTTAAAATATGCTCTTGCAAATAGCACAGCACGAGTCACATTAGAATGACCTCCGACTCAATGTCGCTTGTGACAAATTCTAGAGTATATTCTTTTACAAGTAGCCCCACCAATCAAAAATGTGACACGTGAAATTTAACATTTGCAGTGCATTTGATGGAATGCAACATTTAGCCCCACCAATCAAATTCTAACAGGTACGTATGAGGAACAGCCCTTTCAAAAATTTGTAATAAATTTTAAATTTACTTTTTTATAACATACAGCATTAGAATCTGTTTGAATGTATGTCGTATTTTGTCGAGGGATGGCGATAATATGGCGTCAGCCAGCGCTACAAATCATGCCTTGTTGAAATTTAAATAAAAAATAAATAAAAGTAGACTGCCAAACATAAAACAAAACATTCACGACTTCATGAAATGGGGTATAGGACAGCTAATAATATTGTCTATACTATTATTCGATTGCACCTTGACACCAGTCTTCCACGGCGATACCTGATTTTTTAATTTAGACAGGAATTGGTCTGTGTATGGTATTATCTTTGTTGATTTACTATTCTCCGTAAATGTATATGCCAGGAATGAAACCATATTCAACACAATAGTTTAACACATAACTCAATTATATGGATTTATTGCTTCAAAGGTTAACCATTGCTAAATTAGGATTTATTTATGATCAGTTGCAGTATACGTCCAACATTTATCAATGACTATGTATGGCCGACTATGATATAATATTTACCATTGACCGAGTAACCAAGATCTCA